TACTGACACATGGAGAGCAGGGAGTTACTTCGCAAGTGGAGAACCAGTGTTGACAGGGCCAATTCAATCAGGGTGGATGTAGTCCACTCCCAATAATAGATGAGGAGGTGTCAATTCCAGGAGAGGAAAAGCTGCTTCTGTAATGAGCCAGCCACTCCCAGTCCCTATTCAAGCCCAGATTAATGGTGTTAAATTTGCAAATGAATTTTAGTTCTGCTGTTTCTCTTTGAAGTCTGTTTCTGAAGTTTTTTTGTTCAATGATAGTGACTTTTAAATCTGTAATAGAATGACCAGGGAGATTGAAGTGTTCACTTACTGGCTTATGTATGTTACCATTCCTGATGTCCAATTTGTGTCCATTTAGCCGGGTGTGCTCTATTTCTTTCTTGGTTTTGGTCATTTCATTTGGCCTTACGTGATCACTGCTGCCATTTCTAATGCCCAAGCTGGGTTTTCTGGACAAAGTACTACTTGTCAATGACAGATGTGATTCTAGGAGAGGATAAGTTTTCTTTGTCTTCTGTATTTCTTCCTCCCAGTTGTCCGTCTCCTCTTCCTTTCTTCCCCCATCACTCTTTCTCTGAGCCCTACCAGCATGAGGCCTGGACTACATTCGTAAAGTTGCCCACTTTAACTAAATTGATTTGAAATCATCCTAGATAAACTGGTGCAAACCTGCTATGTAGACATATTTAAACTGCTTTAATCCTTGCTTTTATTGGTTTAGTTTAATTCAGTGCAAGCTCAAGTGATTTAAGCAAGAGTTAAACCGGTTTAAGTGCATCTACATGAGGATTTTGCACCAGTTTAACTAAATCTGGTCCAAATCAATCCAGTTAAACTGGTGCACCTTTTCTTATATATACAAACCCTAAGAGACACTGCACTGAAGCTGGTGATATGTTCATTTGGTCATATGCTAGGAGCAAGAGTAGGATTGCATCTGAGTTACCATCCCACGCTGAAATAAGGCCTAGCCGCTTACATGTCCTCATGAATCTCATAAGAAAATAGTCCCTGTCTCTTCCTAGCCCACTTCCAACTGAGGCTTTATTCAGGGTGATTTATACCATGATGCCTTGAGTTAGACTGGGAGGACAGCTAGTGCTGTGTCTTTGTCTTTACTTTTAAAATCAGTGGTAAACAATGGCTGTGTCCTACATTTACCTTTCTTGATGGTCCCCCTTTTCTGCAGTGTAAAATAAACATGTACACAAACTGTTACTTTTCCCTATTTTTCTTTTTCCAGAGTCTCGCTGTGATAAAGACTTGGACACTCTTAGTGGCTATGCTATGTGCCTTCCTAACCTCACCAGGCTGCAGACCTATCATTTTGTGGAACACCGGCCAATCCTTTGTGTGGAGATCAAGGTGAATTTGTTAAATATGGGGAAAAAACAATTGTTCCTTCTGCGTTCTTTTAAAAATAAAAATAAAAGTATATGGTAACTATTTATTTAATTTGAAAAATTGTGCAGATACTAGGTAGAGCAATAATCTTTGCCTTTTGCAAATGCTAGCTCAGGGGTGGCCAACTTGAGCCTGAGAAGGAGCCAGAATTTACCAGTTTACATTGCCAAAGAGCCACAGTAATATGTCAGCAGCCCTGCCATCAGCTCCCGCTCCCAGCGCCTCCCGCCCACCGGCAGCCCCACCGATCAGCGCCTCCCTCTCCATCCCCGTGCCTCCCGCCCACCACAGTCAGCTGTTTCACGACGTGCAGCAGGCTCTGGGGGGGAAGGGGCGAGGGCAAGGCAGACTTGGGGGAAAGGGTGGAGTGGGGTTGAGCAGTGAGCACCCCTGGCACATTGAAAAGTTAGCGCCTGTAGCTCCAGCTCCGGAGTCGGCACCTATGCAAGGGAAATATGAGCATGACCTATTAACCTTGTTAATAGATATTGCATGCTCTCTATCTCTTTAAAGTCCTTTGATTCGTTATGAGATATATGAGAGGAGGAAAGGAACAGATTTTTTTAAAAAAGACGTAAATAAATCTATTAAAATGCATTTTAAATGTTTTTTTTTTTTTTTTTGCAGCCGAAATGTGGGTTCATTCCTTTCTCTAGCCATGTTTCGCAGGAGATAAAGCACAAGGTGTGTCGTTACTGCATGCATCAGCACCTAAAGGTAAATCTTTAAATATTCAGCCTGCTTTTCCTCTTACTGGCAGTGTGCTTACTTTTATTATAAACATGCTATTAAAATCCTGCTTTCCTGTTGAAACATGTACATGTGTTGCTTATTTCCTTGATGTTTAAAGAGGTACGTATTTAAGTGTCACTGAGTTGCTGGATGTGAGCATGAGAGGGAATATGAGTATATAGCTGGAGACATAGAAACTTTGTGGGAATTTGGAAACAAACAAGGGTAATAGTAATCTTTGCTCAGCTTTGACAGTTTTAGTTGTCAGTGTGGTAAACTGCCATGTCAAATTAAGTTTCAAGTACTTTTCATTAAACATGGTCCAGGAAGTCATTTAATGTCCATGGGTGTCCAAAGAGCTCTGTTAGCTGTAAAGCTTCTCTCTCTGACCAACTGAAGTTGTTCCAATAAAAGATTACATCAGCCACAGTGTGTAACAACAAACTCTGAAATCATTCACTTGGCCATTAATCTGTACATCATGTACTAATAGCTTATTTAAATATTAGAGTTTGTGCCTAGAATGGGCCTTACTCCTAATATGTGAGATTCCCCCTTTTAATGCTGTTATGGAATTTAACTGAATTGCTGTGGAGTTTAAATATGAAGAGAAGGTAGCCCTCTACTGGCCAGAAATAGTATGTCCAAAGGGTTTAAATATTCGGAAGCTCCTTAAGACAAAACTAATGTGTATTTCATAAACCTACTATTGTATTAACTGAGAGCATTCACAGTGAATATTCATAGTGATTTGTGTCAACAGGTAGCAAATGGAAAATGGAAGCGATTGAGCAAATACTGTCCCCTAGATCTCTTCTCAGGGTAAGAAAATATTTACTTTAATTCCAGTGATTTGCTGACTGTGTGTGTCTGTATAGCTAGTTGTCTTAAATTAGGCTGAATTTTGTCTTAGGTTAAGGAGAGCAAGTGCTGACAAATGTTTTGTGATTTATAGCAACAGTATTTGTGCTTTTCCTGCATCTTTGTTTTTAAACCTCTAGAATTTAATTCAGTAGCTGTTAATTATTGTATGTGGTCCAGATGGCAAAACATCAGACCTTGCAAGAACTTGGATACTACTGAGATTTGTTTGCTCTTTTATGGTATCTCTTTCTTTGTATTGGCTTCATCTTGAGTAACGATATGCTTAGGGAATATATTCAGCCTGGGTGATGAACGGATATGGTTGGCTTTTTGGGGTCCTAGTGCTACTGTAACGGTAATATAATGAGAACAGTGTGTTTGTTAAAATATTACATATGTATTTTTCTCTAGAAATAAACAGAGAATGCACTTTGCCTTGAAAAGCTTATTACAGGAGGCACAGAACAATTTAAAAATATTTAAGGTAAGACTGACTGAAATTGCTTGCATGTTTTTTATACTGTCTTGTAAATTTATTGGGTCCATTTAACTTAACATCTGAATATTCAAAACCCCACTAGATATCTAGTTGAGGATTTTCTCTGTTCAAACTTTCTAATTGCAATATGGAAAGATGTATGTAGATTTGATTTTATGGAAGGTAAATCAATACCTCACTTAATTTTTGTTGGAAAAGTCTTTAAGACATAATGAGGCTGATGGGACTGTATTACAGCATCCACAAGTAATACCATAACTACTGCATAAATTATTGGGTTTTTCTTTTAATATAAGGTATTTTTCAAAATGTTGCAATTTTGAGTGCTCCTTGAAGGGTATATTTTTGCACATAGTTTCATAACTTGTATGGAATATGTTGTACATCGTTTACTTAAGAGTATAGAGACATTTCTTCTCCGTAGAGGAAGTAAAATGTTACTTCATTGCCCACAACTGATGCAGCAAAAACATATAGCAGTACATGAACACTACTCTGTAGACTATGGAGATATCACATGCATATGTGTTAATTCTAGAAAACAAGCTCTCTGTCTGAGCTATTTCCAACATAAAACAAAGTAGCCCTCCAATATAAGATATAACTCCAGTTGTATTATTTCAGCTGTGTTGAAGCATTGGTAATTTGATTTTTTAAAGTGGTGGTAATGAGGGGAAACCAAACCCTTCAGTGCCACTGTACCTAAATTGTTCTGGGCCTGTCCAAAGTCTATTTAAGTCAATGTAGTGGGGTTTTTTTGTCAGTGTCTATGAAAAAAGTCTTGTGGCTTATGGTTAAACTTACGGGGATGGGAGGAGTGTTCTGTGCAACTTATAAACCAATTTTATATTTCAATTTTGAACAATTTTAAACTTTCCTACTCTTAAACTTTATGCACCAAGTCACTTTTCCTTCTAGTCTGTTCAGCAGCTAAGAACCTACTAGACAACTTACCCCAGCATGCAGTATTGCATTTGTGACAGATAAACAAGTGTCTAATTGATGCAGTTGCTCAATAATTTTAATTATTTCTTCTGAGAAATATACATTGTAACCATCTTTGTTACATGATCAGACTTTCTGCTTGTATCCACTGAAACATGCCTCTTCAACTGTTAAATCTTACACTTAATGAGTTTGTTCAGTGTTCTTTATAATTAAATATTCATATTTGGACTTTCTGAAATGCATAAGTATTTCTTTGCTCAATTACAGAATGGTGAACTAATTTATGGCTGTAAGGATGATCAGGACTCTCTCTCTGACTGGAATGAACTTGCTCGTCACTTAAAACCATTCTTCTTTCCTGCAAATGGGATGGTCAATGGACCACATTGTACAAGGACGATTATTAAAGAATTAATTCATGTAATAACAATGACTCTACTTAGTAGTACTGATGCCTGCAGGGCAGGTAACATGAAGACGGTTCCCATTTCACGAGGAAGGAGCTACTGTGAAGCAAGTGCTTTCAGTAAGGAGCTGGTAAGAAATGGTAAGAATTATTTCACAGTAATTAAATATATTGTAATACAATTCAGGGTACATAATACACTGATTCAGATCACTGCATTTTATTTACTGTGTGCTACTTAGGGTGAGAGTTGAAGCAACAAGAGTGGGAGCTTTACCTGTTTAAACACAAGAAAGTTAATGGGCTGAAAACCCACTCCTCTAAAATTCTTTTACATTCACTCTAGATAATTGATTTTGACTGAATTTAAATTTGAATTAATACTTTTTAGTATTGCATCTACTGATGATGAAACTCCACTCATCAGTGCAAGCATGTAAAAGCAGTAATGGAGAAAAATGAAAGAAAAAATGTGCTCCAGCTGATTACAATACTGTGTCTAAAAACACTGTAGAGTTTCTTGCCTTAGTTTGAGATGCAGGCTAGCTGCTATTTTAACTTAGTTCAGTTTGGATTAATTTTTGTTTGTTTTTTTCCTCATGAGGTGGGTATTTAAAAGGAAAAAGGGTGTATATGTGTGAGAAATGGAAATGAGGATTGGGAGTTGGAGGGTGGGGCAGAGCGTATTACTTCCTCACTACTCTAGTCTTGCAAAAGTGCAATTGGTTTTCAAGACATTGCTGCTGGTTGGGACACAGCTCCTATAGTGTACTGCTATGTGATCATGGAACCATTTCTAAGCAGTAATTGGTATTTAGTGGGTGTGCTTGATCCTAACATTTCAGATGCTGCATTACATACCCATATTACTGTTTTGAGATTTTTCTTTAAGTTGATCTCCTGAGTTGAATTTCTTGAAAAAACAGGTTTTTGGTTTTGTTTTTTTTAAAGTGAGTACAGTTTTCTACAATGTATAATAGTTACTCAAGATCTGAAATGCTACATGACTTGATGTGATCTAGATTTCCTTGTAAATCAGTCTGACTCATCTGGGGGATATTTTCAAAAGCACAAAGGGGAGATGAGGCGCTGAACTGCCCCTTGTGTCTTTGAATATTTCCAGTAATGTAAGACAGAGCATGGAAATGTGTGATGGAGATTTTTTTCTGTTTTGCCCCCCCTCCCCCCCCCTTGAGTGTTTTGTCATGAAAGGAAGAAAATCTGATTTCATCCCATAAGATTCACTGCACAGTCAAACTCTAGTGTTATACATAATATAGTAGTTCAAAATGTGAAATGTTGAATGCCCATCTCTTACGATTTTACTATTTTAAACCTAAGAATTAGTCTGTAGCTTTTCCTTCAGCTGATCAAGCTGGGGAATAGTTGGGTCTATTATGTAGAAACAGTTATTTTTTTTTTTCAAATTACGTAATTTGAAAATACTTTTTTTCTAGGTAAAAATAAAATGGAGAGCTCTGGCTTACCAAGGGGCTGTCTCCTTTATAAAACCCTTCAGGCTCAGATGCTGGACATGCTGGATATTGAGGGACTTTATCCTTTGTACAATAGAGTTGAACAATACTTAGAAGAGTTTCCTGAGGAGAGGTAAGATTTCCAGGCTGTCTTCTGTATTGAGCTCAGGAAGGTATAACGTGATAATTTGCACTGCAGACTCTGGAAAGTTTCTGTCTGTATTTGTCTTCTGGTTTCGATACAAATTCAGGGTATCATAAAACTTGGCGGAATGGATGAGACCATTGGTTCATAGTATAGCATTATGCCTCTGGAGGTGACCCATACATAAAGCTATAGGGGAAGGCTGAAAAATACCAGTGAAATGTATTATTAGCTTTATGTCTGGCCTTGTAAAGTTGCGAATGTTAATGACCATTAAAATGTTCAGCTCTATTTTTAAAAAGCTTCAGCCTTAGTATTTACATCTGACATAACAGTACTTCCTTTTTTTCTAATCACACTGCCCTTTAATTTCACCACTCATCCCCTTAGTCTGATATGGGACCAGGTATTAAGGCGGTACTGGAAGTTTTCACTGTGATCTTTATGCACCTCTATGCAAGCCCCACCATACCATTTTCATGGACCTTTTTGGTCTCAGCTGTCTCTCTAAAAGGCAAAAAAATTGGACACCGCACTTCAGATGGTGATGGCATCATCAGCCACTGTCAATATTTAGGAGCTTGGGACTGCCTTCTTGCACTGTTTTTTTTCCTGTGTAGTGTGTAGGCTCAGCAGTTCCTTGCATATGAAGGTCTTTGTTCCACTTCTTGCCCATGGTCTCTCCCCACTGGCCTATGCTTCTAACTTCTGCTTCCTGAGTAGTGCAGTACTACTAGTTACATAGCTCTGAAGAGGAACCTTCCCAAGGGTAGCTTGTTTGGGGGCCTATTAAACTTGCTTTGTTTCCTCAAAAGCTGGAAATCACATCTCCTTGGCTTGGGATTGAAGCAAAATTGCTCTTTTGCTTCTCTCTCAAGTAACTGCAAATCACAGTGCAGATTTACCAATGTAGATGGATTTCCTCTTAAACTTCACCCTCCTCACCCCTATTTTCATAATCTTTCGCTATACCATGGCTGTAACACAGTAATATGTGAAGTGTCTCAAACCTTAATGTATTTAACTTGTCAAATGGAGGTATGGAAGTAGTATCCCCAGAAGGTGAAACTGAAGGACAGACTTTAAAGTAACTTGCTCAAATAGAACCCAGGTCTCCTGATTCCTTGTCTGTTGTTCTAATCTTGTTGCCATCATTCAGATTTGTGGGTTCCTTGATACCATGGGACAGATTACTTTATTGTGCCTCACTCTGCTGTTGATACAAAAAGATGCAGCCTAATTTTTGCAGGCTGGCCAGGTGTGTAGACACAATACAGCACTGTACAAAATCTATTTTGAATCCTGCTGTTCCTGAATCATCTTTGGTATCTAGAGACTCATTATGTTGCCTTGAACTTCATGCTTTTCATTTTAGTGTCTAGATATGGAACTTCTAACTTCACCTTTCTTGTAACACAGCAGATAAACTTGTGCACAATCTAATTTGGGGGCAATTTTCTGGTTGATGTGAATATATTCCCATCTAGATTTCTTCTAGGAGAGATAACCAAGGCCCTGGGAATTGAAAAAGCAGGAAAGCTTGTTTTCCCTCTTTGAATCTATGAATAAAAAGTAGCTGTGAACAGATGAGATGTACTAGTTCTAAAATCTTGAAGGACATGGTGACCGGAAACAGTTCAGTTCACTAACTACAGATGCTACTTATTTTTGTTTAAAAAATCAGCTCATTGTAAATGCAAAATATGTTTTGATTTTTTTCTTTTATGTCTAGCACTTTAAGGTAGTTTTATTTAATACAAAAATTTAAAATGCTTTTGTTCATTTTTTAATTGAATTGGAATTTTCATCGAGATTGATACAAAATCACGAATAGTAAAGAAGAAATGCACATTTAATGGAAAGGCTATATTTAGTTGGAAATCAACATGTATTAATGCTTACCATCCAATGAGAATCACCTTTTTATTTATTTTTTTCCTCCCCCTTTTTAGGAAAAGAACTAAAAAATACAAATGCAAAACATGATTAAAATTGATTACCTCTCCCACTTCCCCTTTGTTTACCTGAGCTCTCTTTTTGGTAGTAAACCATGTGATAAAAGGAATTATTTCTTCACAGGATGTGAAATTAGGCTGTGGAATTCATCACAGGAATTTAGTGCATGTCAAAGAGGGATTTGACACTTGAATGAATAAGAGTATCCAAAGTAGTTATTTTTAAAGTTTTGGCAGGGATTTGAAACATAATGCATTAAGATTTTAAGCCAAATTCTAACTATTAGTATTTAAGATGAGATTACTAGGATGTGTGTATGGGAGTTAGTTTATTCCACATCTGCCTACTATTGGGTTTTCTTAAACCTTCCTCTGATGCATCTGGCGCTGGCCACTGTCAGATACAGAATGCTAGACAAGGTGGAATCTGATATAGTGTGGCAATTCCTATGTTAAATTCTTTCTAGTGGTTGTCAAGATGAGCAAGCTTGCAGCCTTGCAGTAATGAGTCCCTCGGTATTGTTCAGCCAAGAAAGTTGACATGATTGTCTAATATTTCCTATCTCATGTCTAACACACTTTTTATGTCACTATTGAAACTTGTCCCCAGTTCATAATCTGATATAGAAAAATGTTTCCTCAAATTCTGCCTCGACTATACTGAAACAAGTGTCACTCCTCCTCCTTTGAAAGAGCCAAGGCATATTTTAAGGTTGTGGATACCCTATTATCATGTTTTCTCCCTCACTTGATGGGCAGTTTCTCAGGGCTGGTCTACACTTACTGGGTAGTTCGACGGCTGGCAATCGAAGTTCCGGGTTCGATTTATCGCGTCTGGTCTGGACGCGATAAATCGAACCAGGAAGTGCTCGCCGTCAACTGCGGTACTCCAGCTCAACGAGAGGAGTACCGCGGAGTCGACGGAGAGCCTGCCTGCCGCGTGTGGACCGCGTCTGAACCGCGGTAAGTTCGAAGTAAGGTATGTCGAATTCAGCTACGTTATTCACGTAGCTGAATTTGCGTACCTTACTTCGACTTGGGGGGTAAGTGTAGACCAAGCCTCAGTGTTTAGTCTTCTGGGAGTGAGACATTGATATGTTGGTTACAAATTGATTTCTGATGGAATAGAAATAACTGGTAATGTGTGACTTATGCATTTCTGTACTCCAGTAGTAATAGCAATGGTCCAAGAGGACAGATATTTACAAGTTAATTACTTCAGTTAATTTAAGGCTGTTTTATGTTTTCCTGTAAATATGGGTAATGTGTTAGTGGAAAAATAAGAAAACAAGGACCCAGACAGAACATATTTAAGTCCTTATAGGTAGTGATAGGTTCTGCTGTCCATCAGTCTAGTGGAAGAGAAATGGTCCATTACATATTGGAAACCAGTGAAGAAATAAAATAACCAAGTAAATTCTTAATTCCCCTGTTCCCATCCAGTTTGCAGGAGGTACATAAAGACGTGCTCATAACAATGTGAAATTCTAATATCTCACTAACTGTTCAGTTGCTCAGTGTAGTGCTTTTATAAGTGAGAACCTTCTGTGTTTGCATCACTGCAGCTTGCAGTGAAATAGATGAGGAAGTTTATGGAGTGTAGCTCTGATGTGAAATTATTCTAGTAAGACCCTCTCTGAAATAGAGAGTGATGAAATACTATGTTAGTTTAGGCTGTAGAAATCCAAGATCAGTAGTTGTGTGAGTTTACCAGATTGCCATCATAAAATGGTGACCTATATAGCAACTTGTATTGAACAAGTGCAGTAAATGCCTTCTGATATCTGTTGTTGGGGAAATACTAAGCACTGAGAGTTAAACTGGACTTACTTCCGATGGAAAACCAAGTCCAGTTTGTTTTTGTAGTAGATCATCACTCTAAGGCGAGGCCCTCTTTCATTTTGTATTGTCCTTTGTATTCCTTAAAATGTAACTTCCTTGTGTAATTTAGACACTATCCACAAGAGGGTAATAGAGCTTCATTTGCAAAAGGTACTGTTTACTCTCTGAGCAGCTTCTGATATGTGGAAATCAACATTTTGATATATAACTGAAATATTACATGTATGGTGAGCAACCTTAATATTGAGTCCTGCTAATAAATAGTTGGCAATATAACACTATACTTTGGCTTTCTTAAAAAGGCAGGCAACATAAATTCAATCTTACATATTTTCTGGTGTGTGCATAGATTAAGCATTCCATTTGTATTCTTTATTTGTATATATCCTTTCTAGCTGCTGTGCATTAGCATTAAACTAAAAACTTGTTCCCAGCTTGATATTGCATATTAGCCAACTCGTGCACTTACGGCTTCAGTTTCTTAGGAACTGAAGTATTTCATGCAACAAGTCTTCTAGTAAAAATGCTGTTGCTGGGAGCCTCTGCAAACTGTGGAGAAAGATCTGCTGTTTCTCCATTTTTACAACATTGCAATTCTTCCCCATCATAATGCTGTTTTACTTTTAGTAAAGGTTTACCCTCACCTGATGAAAACATCTTTTTGAAAGGTTTGGGTCAGGAAAGATTGGAACTGGATCAGTAAAACTTCTTCCTGTTTTTTGTACTTATTAGAAGTACATCACAGATAGATGGACCTTACAATGAAGCATTTTATGAGAAACTTCTAGATCTTTCAACTGAAGATGATGGAACAGAAGCATTTGCATTTACAAAGGTACCTTTCTTCAGCGTGGGTGCTAAAGCTTACTTTATTCTGTCAGCTTCCATAAAGTATCTAATATATAATTAAGCTTGGCAGAATTTGATTTCTATTTTTTATAATTTTGATGGATAATTGATTTAAAGCATTTTTAATCTATTTAAGCTTTCAGAGTTGTGGGAAATTTTGGGGAGGTCAGACACTTAATAACAGAAAACACCCTTCAAAAAGTTTAGATTTATAACCATTAAAAGAAATTGTCAACATCAAGAAAGTAAATAACCTTAATTCAATCAGCATTTTTCTTCCTTTACTTATCTGTAAATTTCAATTACTGTCAATGGAAATATTTTTCATCCGTATGTGTGTTTACAGTGAAAATGACTACCGATAATCTAATCCTGCCAAGCTTGTGTATACTGTAACGATCAATGAGAGAGAAAATCCGGTGAGCTGCTGAACAGTTAAAATTCCCATTGAAGTGCTCATCCCCTTTGAAAATCAGCTCATACTACCACTTTTTAACTAAACAAAGGAGCTAACTATTCACAAATTCCTTACTCATTTCTAAATCACAGGGTACATTTAAATGAATAGCTATTTCACATTAGTTGACCTAGTATCATAGAATAAATATGTACTCATGCAAAGTGGTCTGTGTGAAGAGTTAACCATTTGTAACATGTGACACAGAAAAAATGTTAGTGAATACATAAAGTCTGAGGAGTAATGACCTCGGTATAATCGCCTCAACACCTGAAGTGATTATTACTTTACATTTTCATTGTGCATGCTTAGATAATGTACTTTGGCTTTGTATCTGTGACTGAGTCGAGAAATATTTGTACAAATGCTCTTATTATGGAGATAAGTCATTCTATTTTTACCTTATGTATAGGTTCAGCAGTACAGAGTAGCAATGACAGCTAAGGACTGCTCCATCATGATTTCCCTTTCACCTTGTCTACAGGATGAATGGTAAGGGATTCTGAAAGACAGTTCACTCAGACAGCCAAGATTTAAAAAAAAAAATGTCTATAGTTGATTTGAGTCAAATAATCTTCAGGGTGTTTCACAGTTGGGTTGCCCGTGTTGACAGTGGGAATACTAATCATGAAGTTCTGATTAAAATATTTAGAATAGGAGGCTCAACCCTTTTTTTTATTTATTTTTTTTTTAAACACTGAAGCTACATAGGGCAGTGGCTCTCAAACTTTTGTACTGGTGACCCCTTTCACACAGCAAGTCTCTGAGTACGACCCCCCTCTTATAAATTAAAAACACTTTTTTTATATTTAACACTATTATAAATGCTGGAGGTGAAGCAGGGTTTGGGGTGGAGGGTGACAGCTCACGACCCCCCCACCCCCATGTAATAACCTTGTTACCCCCTGAGGGATCCCGACCCCCAGTTTGAGAATCCCTGATTTAGGGCTTGTATTCACTGCAATTGTTAGCTTGAGTTACCGCACTCTAGCAGTCAAGTGAGAGCAACCACACAGCAAAACAATACTGGAGTTGGATTGTGATTAGATTAACTGCTGATGAGTTTGTTGTAACTTGAACTGTTGCATTCCCACTGCATTACTAGCTCAACTATCAGCATCACTTGAGCTTCAACCTACCTTTTCTGACAGGCTACCTAGCTCTAGCTAGAGATTTTAATATGGGCAACTCTCAAGTTATAATTTGAGCTAACTGCTATGACACATTCTTAATTTGGAGGCTGAAATCTGTTTCAAAGTCCTACTGTTGATATGCCTTTAAGGATCAACAAAAATGAGTTACCTCAGTCACCATGGCAAAAGAGTTATGTTCTCATTCTTTATCACTGCATATCTTTTGATTCCTTTCTGGATATTAGGATTTATTCAATTTCTTATCATTAGGGTGATAGAGTATTGGATGGAAGACATATTTGGTAGTGGCTGTGTTCATCCTGTGCTTGTCCTCTGATTTGAGGTATGCAGGAAAGCTGCTTTTGAAAATAGACAGAGCCAACTTAACCCTTTAAAGTGACTGACCTGAAGTGTCAAGTATCTTGCTCTCATTCTGTCATCAAGAGGTGCAACTTTTGTTGCAACCACACAGCTTTAGTAACTTAGTATCCATGTTGACTTTTTTGTCAACACAACCCTAGTCATCTCCTCAGTCAGAAGCTAATTTTCCATGTGGATTAGTGCTGTTTGGAGGATAAACTCTGAAGAAGGTAATCTTTCTTCTCTAACCTATAATACTTGAGAAAATAAGATAGAAAATTCTCCCATCCAAACCTTTTACTTAGATTTCGTAGGTCACTTCAGGGAGTTATTTTCTAATATCATTGTTTTAAGATGTATTCATAACACCTGAATGCTAGTTCTGATAGGCAGAAGGCAATTTTATTCACTCAGGCCAGGACAATAAGTTGAACAAAGTAAGTTTCATACAGAGGAAGAAGAGGCTATTGCTTCAGTTTAGTATATAAAAAGGATATTTGTGAAATGGCATTAACACTACCTACCTACCGTTATGTCTGTGCAGGTGATGGTTGTTTCTAGCTGTAGAAGTTCAGTGCAGTACTTCTGACAAACTTTTCATTTATAGAAATAGCTCTTATTGCCAAAACCACCAGTTGAGATTATTTCATTTAGCAGTGCTAGTGGTAGAGCAATTTAGGGAGGTTTGGTTTAGATTGGTGTGGAAACTAACAGGAAAAGGATTGGCATGTGTAAATAAATGGTTTATTCATTCCTGTTCCCACATCATTTTGGACTGGAAAAACTATACCTGAGTTAAGAATGAACCATGGCTGCTTTTAAAAGCTACATCAGCTGAAGTCCCAGTTTTCTGGTCTACAATGCCTAATAAATACGGAGACACTGGCAATATACTGCATGTGATCTTTACATGTAAAGCAGAGTTATTTGTGATAAAGCCTTAGATAGGCACTGGGCTTTGAATTTCCACTAAGAGCATAAGTGGTCTGTTTACTTTAAACAAATTGTCTTGCAACATTCCATTGGTCTTCTTTTTCAGCTCTGCTCAAAGGCCTGTCGTTCTGGCATCCAAATCCAGATTCACCTTTTCAGTTTCTGTCCTGGACCTAGATCTTAAGCCATATGAAAGCATTCCACATCAGTACAAACTTGATGGCAAGATAGTAAACTATTATTTGAAGAATGTACAGGCCAAAGATGATCCAATGATGTCAAATCTGTTCAAGGAGAATGAAGACTGCACACTAGTTCTCCATAAAGTGTAACTGTTTCCTTAAGGTTATGGTTGAAAGTGAAGGGTTAATGAAATGTACTTACATTGATTTTCTATTATGTTCAGTGCATTTTTCAGCTGTGAATGTTTTTGCTTTAAGAAATATATTTTAATGGGTATGCCTTTCAAAGACATGGCATAGTACTAAAAAAACACCTTCCAATATATAAACTTAATCTGAAGGAATGTATTCAATATTACAGAACAGATGTGTGCCATACCCTGCAACAACATGACAAATCAACTTGAGGTTTAAGTCCATGTTCTTAAAATTGAATGACTACTATGTGAAGCACCGAATGAAATATTCTGGATTAATTCTCATTTATTTTTCAGTGCAGAGTTAGGAATTTCCAGATACATTGCACTAATGCAGAAAGCCTGATCATTAACATGAGAATTACAGGATGGCCTTGCACCTTGTGCATTTTAACACTCAATATTTTAAAACAAAAGCAAACCCTCCACTCCCTGCATTAATAAAACCAAATTTAAAATTAAGCCGCACTGAGCACATTACAAATGCACTAAACTTAATTCAAAATAAATTGCTGCCCATGTAATTTAATGTTTAAAAAACAAAACGCACTACTGAATTGTATAATTGCTCTTTGGTGCTGGCTAGGTAGAGCTCGCATGTTAGTGCAAATCTATTTTAAGCAGAGTGAGTGAAATTGAGAACTCCAGACTCTGCTTCCAAAAGTGTTGTGATCAGTCTGAAAAAGCTTTCTGTAACGATTTGTATAAATGTAAGTAGAAATTCACAAAATAAGGGGTAAGGGTTAGGGATTTTACTAGGGAAGCAGCCTTGATTTTTAATTATTTGCTGGTTGAACATATCAGGCTTTGATCCAATGGTCCACACTGAGCTAGTCCTGCTAAATTAGTGAATCAGAAATTAGCTCTTTCCTAATTCAAATTTAGCTATAGGAATCGTATACTCAATTTTTGTCCATGTGATTTTGGACTTAAATCAGATGCTTCTCAACTTTTTTGTGCATTAAACAGCAGCTAGCAAAGGCTGCTCTTGAATCAGGCTGTGACTGCAATGACATTTTCTTGAGAAAAGGGTTGACAGATGGTATCTGCTTTATCTTGTAAAGTTCATTGTAATCGTAGGTTGTGACTTTTCCTTGATGGTGGGTGTCAGTTAACTTTGTACCAACATTTAGCAGTGGCTTTAGTTTGTGTGGTAACAAGTTAAACACATTCTGCCAAGCTGGAGATGATTTGTGTGGATGAGGTGCTATTCCCTGATGCTTGTGAAGTTTAAAAGTGAAACAGGTTCAACTAGATCAAAAACAGTGGGATGAAACTATGAATTCAGAAATGTGGGTATTGTGGTATAATGAACTACAGGTTCTCTTAGCTGTTGAAAAGCTTTCTTTACATTTCTTTGGGGCTCTCATACCCTAAGACTGTACAAGGAGATGTTATTCAAGCCCATCTTGAAATGCTGCTATCTGTATACAGTAGGTATGTAATGGTAATAAGTTTCAAAATATGGAGGTTGTCTTAACAAGGACTTACCTCTCCCTATAAAGTAGTACAGTAGATTTATATTGGGAGCTTGAATCTAATGCCCTTTGTTTCATTGCATTTTATTTGAACTTCTTCAGAGTATTGGCTTTCATAAAAAATGGCGCCGTGTTCATTGGCAGGACCCAATGTACAATTCTGTGAAACCATGGCCCATTTGACAGTTGGGCCCAGAGTGGTGATAGTCTTAATGAAAATTTATTTATACAGCAGTATTGCTTAACACTTAGAAGTGAACCATGTTACTTTGATCCACTAAACCTACCACCAGTTAGTAATGTGCCTTTCTGGGGTGCAGTTGTTTGCTCTTTAGATTAGACTTGTTATATCCACAGCAGTCTGACCTAGTTGTTGATTTATTGCAGTTTGCTGTGTGGCTAGCTGCAGTGTTGTAATAATATCACCTTCTGAGCAGAGAATTAAAAGAAAAGTCACATTTCATTCAAAGGGGCTGGTCATTTTTAGTCAAAATGATGATGAGTTACCTACAGCAGGAAAAAAAACCTTACTGTGGTCAGGTTTATGCTGTAACTTTCCACTCTTGGTGTATGTACACACCATAGTTCAGTTTCCATGTACATGCAGGAAGCATCTAACTGTAGTTTGCTGCCATATGTATTTTAAAGAGGAAACTCGCTGGCACAAAGAATCAGGATTACACAAAAATAGTGAAATGGATGTAGTAGTATTAGTTAGTTCTGCCTGCTTAGCAGCAGAACCCCAAAACAACCTTTTCTATGTCTGAATAAGAAGAAATTTGAAATAAACTGCAGTCTGGCAGCATTTAATGCCTTCTGTTGCTCAACCACATGCTCGTTCTGTGGGGGTAGGAAGACTGAATCAAGCCACCCACATTGGTGCTTCAGTTCAGTTATTCCTTGCCAGAACAGACTGAGTGACAAAATAGATGATTGATATTTTCTGGTAATGACTGACAAGCTTACTGTTTTAAAACAGGCAGGTCTAATCCAAGATCTACCAGCCTTACTCTGCTTTACGTGTGCATGTAAATGTGTGTACACTGCTTGCTCCATCAAAATGTACGCCAGATCGTAGTTGTGTATGCATACTTACAGAATCATGTACTTGAGTTTGCAGAAGAACTCTTAATTGAAACTACTTAGCAAGAGAGTTCTCCGTTTACATAAATTATAGCCTTTTTGGCCCCTGAGCCCAGAAAAATATTTACTCCCAACATATATGCAAGTACACCATTTTTAAGGTATTAGCAATTAATTTTGAGCTTGCCTGCCATCGCTTTCCCAATGTTTAAAGGTCTCCAAAAGTAAAATGAGGAGGTCACTTAACTATATGGAAACTTGCTGGCTATTACAGTACTTTTAAAGCGCCAGTGCAAAATTGACTGTTTTCCCCCTTTGAGAAATGCTAGACATTTACAAGTGAGCTAATACTAAAATAACTGATGGGCATAATGAGGTTGCAAGAAATGTCTTGAAACTGCTTCATATTTATTTGCAATGTGTAAAGTATCAAGTTGACAATACTCCTCAATGATGGTGCAAGCTTTCAGTGCTTTGAAACCAAACCATGATAAACAGTAATTAAAGTGCAACACTTTGTGAAAGTAGTAATGTCTATTCTGCATCGACATTATAGAAAAAGCAGCAGCTGTACTGTTTCACTAGCATTCACAAAATTGATTTCTAACCATGCGACTATTCTTCACAAACTTAAATTTGGCTGTATTGATCATTTATTTCTGTACTTCTATCTTAATTGAGTAGAAGGAATATTTAAATACAACTTTATTCTGCTTTCAATGTCACTGTTCTCTTTGTTTAAAATCACTGTACTTTTTGTATAGAGCTGTGAAATGAAACGTCCACTTTTTATTGACTTGAATTTGACAGCACATGTTCCTGTAACCTGTTCTAGAAAATGTTAAGGACAGAAGAACCACTCTGGTACATTAATTCAGAAATTTAAATTTATAATGAAATTCACTCTGTAATTATTTTATTTGGCATTTTTGTATTTAAATTGCTGTATTTATTTTTCATGTCATGACAATTTATATATAACGTGCCATAATTGTACAGATAGCATGTTTTATGGGTATGGTTTTTAAATGGAAAATAACTTAATGTTTATATTCAATAAAATTATAGACTGCATAACTCAATATCATAATTAAAAGAATTTCCAAATTTCTACCAGTTATAAGTTTTGTAAGTGGTATTCATTTCTTCATGCCAACTGATTTGATCAGACTTTCAATGGAGGCCTCAATCCCCAGCAAAAGGAGCATATTTCTGAAGCACTGGGGTCCATTTTCAACAGCTGCTTTCTTATCCTGCAGGGCTGCAAGAAAAGAAAAGATTAAATACAAGTAAGTCCTAACTACAGCAAATGTCCTGGGGCATAAAACCTAGTTAAGACGACAGTACTGGGCTCATGTGCCTTTTTAGGAAAATGTAACTGGAATTATTTAACCCCTCTGCCAAGCAGCTTGAGTTAGGAACAAGTAAGTTCCACACTTTGCCACTTAATCTAATCATTTGAATAAGGGGTTTGAAGCCTTTGCTTTATTTCTGTTAGACTAATTTACACATCAAGATTAAGCTTGGAATAATTATGTAGCCAGTTGTTTGCCTCGGTCTTTAGAAAAACAGACTGGTTATTCTCAAGCTTTAGAACAGCAGTGGAATGTAAACTAAAAATTGTTTGGTTAATACCCTTAAAAGGGATTCTGAACTTCTTGCTTTGCAGTAAGGGATCATATCTGAATAATTTTCATGTTTCATTAAGACAAATTGCTTTATCACTATGAATTAACGAAATAAACATAGCTTGTGGAAGCTGCAGCATCTCCTTAAGCTTCCTAGACACCCCTACAGAGCCTGACAAAGTATTATTGTGGTTTCTGGACAACTAACACAAACCTTTCCTCTACCAAATGTGCTGCCATCAGATTTCAGATAGCTCATGCTTCCAAATTGACTGATATTAAACAGGTAGAAGCTATGTACAGTTGAGGCAGAGGAGGAAGTACTGTAACACATTACAGTCACTGTATAAATAAATACCTATCTAACAGTCAAAGGCAGTTAGATTTATAAACACAAAGCAGCTCCATCAAATGTTTTTGGAATGTGTCTTCAATGAGACAGACTCCAGTGGCATATAAAATAAGTAGCAGAGAAAACAGGCTGCTTCTCTTTGACTGACATTTCCACCATGCCCTGCAATACACAATAATGCCACTACACTTGTCAGGGGATCATACATTTTTTTTTTCTAACTTAAATTTGGTATGAGAGAGCAAAACTAATTAAAAAGCCCAAAGTTTCAGTTATTTGTTGGAGAAGTTAAAGCAGCACAGCAAGCTACATGAACTCCCTCTCCCCCCCCCCCCCCCCCAAAAAGAGCTTTGACAAGAAATTTTTTTAAGGGGTCAGGGGTGAAACGTTCAGACTCTAGGTTAACAAAAGTTGTTCTTGGTCTGAGCTGTCATTACTTTCAAAAAGCATTACCATTACATACCAAGCACATTTTTTAAACAGGGAACACTTAGTCGACATAGGTTTATGCCTATTAGGATGATACAAATGTTTTTGAAACTGATGCACTGGTCTAATAAAATGCCAGGTCTTTCATGTCTGCGGCCATTCCTACAATAGGTTCTGCTAGATCTGCCACACATCACAAGTTAGAGCATGAGCAAAGTATGACATACTCTGAGTAACATGCGCTATATTGTGAGTCCAGGGCACAAACTATTTAAAGTCGGTAATAGGGAAAACACCTTTAAAATATACTACAGACACATTACCTTGCACTGGTATTCTAGGCAGAAGATCCAGGACAGGTGTAACTCTCCCTTCTTCATCCACGTATATTTTCCAAACAATCATTAACTCAAACCTGTATCATGCATATTGGGAAGCACCTTATTTAATAATAATGCACAAAAGTAGGTTGTATTTTTCTATGCTAAAGCTTTCTTCAATGCATAATTGTTTTCCTGCAGAAAATAACTTGTCAGAAAGTTGCTGCAGTTACATCTTTTGCTCACCAGGGGCCACAGTGGAGCTAGAACAGAGCAGCTGCTTCTGGGCCATCCCCAGCTGCAATAGGGAAGGGAAGAGGCTGCCTTCTTGAAGGCAGTAGAGCCAGGTCAGGATAGAGGGGGACAGACAGCATGGGGCTGCTGGGGGGTCACAGACTGGGGTTCATAAGGGCTAGTAGGGGAGGACAGATTGGGGCAGGGGCTGAATGGGAGTGGAGGCACAGGGCCACAAGGATGGGGGAGGGGGCTGGCTGAGGGGGTGCAGGACCACATGGGTGGCTGAGTGGGAGCACAGACACACATGAGTGCAGGGGGTACATGGGAACAGGCAGATGTGCCTGACTGAATGGGAAAGGCTAGGGGTCAGCCAGGGTCTGTATGGGGGCAGCTCCCTACCAGTCGCTCCCACCTACACCCAACAACCCTCCAGGTTCGCTTCCAGGCTCCTCAGCTCCTCCATTACACCTGACCCCCCCCCATTACACCTGACTCCCCCAAACCTTTGTACTGCTTCTGAGGGGGGTGGGGGTGGGAAATAAAGTTATGTATTGTAGTTTAAATGCATTACTCAAAATTCTGTATTTATATGCCTAGTAAGGAATCTATTTGTCAATGATCATTTTTCATTGTCTGTATTGTAACAGGCATAGTTGCGGACAGATATTTTGAAATAAATTACCAAAATAATTGAAACTCTTGACAAATTAAAATATGTGCAGAATTTTTAGGCACAGAATTCCCCCAGGAGTAACTAATAAAGAAGATTGGGTAAATCTAAATGTAGTATAATGAGAAAGATTGGAGGACAGGGGAAATGATCACCTCCAACTTTGTGTAGTTCTGGTTTCCCTGTATAAGTTAGCAAATTAATGTCTTATCACTTTCATAAACTGAGGGAAAAACTATGTTTCAAACAATCATAGTGACCATTATTTATTTCTTTTGCATTAGAAGTAATAAACACTCACACATCCTCTGAGGACCCTATCAATTATTCACTATTACAAAAGCAAAATGTAATTCAAGCAGCTTACCCCTCCTACTGAGCAACAGCACATAATGAAATACTAATACCCCCACACGTCACCCTGTTCCTCAGACCCTCCTAACTCTTTGTGCACGAGGTGAAACAAACAGGCCCTGCAGCATGACATTGAAAATTCACAAATCTGGACTACTCAGACCAGGGTCAGGAAGACATTGCTGAATCCCAGGCCCTCATGGAGAATTCCTGCCAACTGCCCCATCTGTTATAGCAATAGGGATCTAGCCTCAGTATCTCTTCTGACCACAACTGTGGCAGGGTATCACGGGAGAGAACGAAGATGGAACAAAACTGCAACCTCTAATTTGAGACACTTCCACTTTAAGGTATAATGTGTGGCAGGGGCATGTTTTTGATTTGAATTTTAGGGTCCCAAACCTTTCATTTTGGGTTTGTTTGTGGGTTTGTCCCATAGTGGAAGATACCTACTTCCTGGTTCTGGATTGATGCAATCAGCCTTGCAGGAATTTTGGACCAGATCATTAGAAATGTTACAAGAGCAGGTATTATATGAGATTTCCAGTGTCTTGAGCTAAGATCTTAAGGGAACACCTTAGATTTTACCCAGCACTGAATCCAACTTTGAACTTGGGCTACAAAGAGATTTGAAACTGCTTCCTTGGCCCATCTTGACTCTTAGAGCTCTTAAATGTACAGAATTGGGGCCAAATCCTGCTCACATTACTGACATGGCTCCATTGACTGAATTGAATTACCATCATCAATGAGATGAGCAGGATTCAGCCCCTGGTTCACAAACAGTATTTGTAATGGAATACATTGCAACAGAGATGTTTTCAACTATAACTGATTATGATGAAGTCTAATACTAGTATAACTTATTTAAAATGTAATTCAAAATCTAAAATTCTACTGGAGCCTCCTATCATCTCTGTCTATCTCTTTTATGCTGTATATTTTTTTAAAGGGCTCTATAAATTAGCAACATATAGTTGTCATCCCCAGAAAGGCCACAGTGAAATGGCTTGCGCCACATGCTCTTTGCTTCGTCTCCCAAGATTTTTGTATGTGTTGCATCTATGAAAAGCATATCACAACCCCATGGTATACACTAGGGCGATAGGTGACTTTTCTTTATAAAATAAACAGTGTAATTCTGAGATTAAACTACCTTTCAATGTGTAAAAGTGAAACTGAAAAACAGTTCTTGCTGGATTTATCTCCAGCTCTAGAGACAATTAACTCAAATTTCAGGTTTTGTTCAATTCTTTTTAAATACAGATATTAATAAGCATCTTGAAATTGTCTTACCCAGAAAGTTCAGGGCTCCTTATAACCAGGTAATCTCCAGACGGTCCTTCAGGAAGTGTTACAATATCAGGATATTTGGCCTGTTAATAAAAAGGGAAATAAGAATATAACCACGCAGTAAAGGTGGTAACTACACAAACTGGCTTCAGAATATACTTTTTTTCCAGTTACGATTGGTCTTAAGAACTATTAAAGACAAAGACTAAAAAGTGCTAAATTTATACTGAAGTGTATTGCAAAGCTCTAATAATGTTTAGACAAAATCAGATGTATGTAAGAGCAAAATGTATATTAAATGTACAAAACAAAACCTTCATTAATATACTCAGTTTGTTGGCATGTCCATCACAGCTCCTTTTTTTTCCCAGTAGTGATTCTCCAAAAGAATGAACATTCAACAAAATGTATTAATTTCGTTGTTGGTTACCCAGATCATTTGTTTATTAAACATGTTTTAATGTTTCATCTTTTCTTGATACTTAAAATGTGAGCATCAACACAATAAAACGTAAATAACAGAATTTCTCTTCTAGAATGACGGGCCAAAACTGGAAGCTATTTCTCTCCTTGACATTAAAACATCTTAAATTGTGGGGAAGCTTGGTAACACTCCAGAGTCAGACTAAATTTGCATTTAAAAGAGGAGGTTCTTCGTGATGTGTGGTCCCTGTCTGTATTCCATTGAGGGTTTACACCCCTGCACCATGCGTCTGGAGCCAGAGAATTTGAAAGTAATGTCCATTAGTCCGCGCATGCGCCCTGGCTCGCTTCATGGTTTCATCCGAGGTGATAAAGGGCATCTCCAGATCCTTTTCCACTGCAAATCCAACAGATCTGTGCAGAGGGGAAGGAGGGCAGGAAGTAGAATACAGATAGGGACTACATATCTTTAAGAACCTCCTGTTATAGGTAAGTAACCTCCTCTTCTTCAAGGATGGGTCCCTATTGTATTCCACTGAGGGTGATTAACAAGCAGTATCTAAGTCAGAGGAGGATGCAAGGATGAAGATGGAAGGGTTGAGCAAAGGACAGCTGGACTGAAGAAGGCAGCTGCCGCTGAGTCCTACACCAAGGCATAATGTGTAGCAATGGTGTGTACTGATCTCCTTGTAGCTGCTCTACCTGTCCTAGAGTGGTACATCATGGAAGGAGGCCATATTTGAAGCCTGAGCTCTCATAAAATGGGCCCACACCCCAGAGTGTGGAGGCAGACCAGATAATTGAGAGAGTGTAATGCACCCCGAAATCCACTTGGAGAGTGTGTGTGTGGAGAGTGCCTGACGTTTAATTCTTTCAGCTATTCTAACAAACAGTCTGGGGGATTTCCTGATTGGTCTTGTCCCATCGAGGGAGTGGAGTTGTCGTCCTTCTTCAGAGTTGAGCAGCTTTGGGAAGAAAACAAAGTGAATGGATTGCTTAACATGAAACTGGGAAATGACCTTTGGCAAAAATTTGGGATGCAGGCACAAGGAGACTATCTGTATGGAAAGTTGTGAAAGGAGAAACCCATCATGGCCCCAAGTTCACTGACCCGTCTCGCCAAAGTGACAGCAATAAGAAAGGTGGCCTTTGTGGAAAGGAAGGCTATAAAGCATGATGCCAGTGGTTCGAAGGGCCGTTTCATTAGTACGGATAGAACTAGGTCCCACTGGGGAGTGATGGATTGTATGGGTGGGAAGGTTCTGATGAGGCCTTTCCAAAATCTTGCAGTCAACAGGTGTATAAAGAGAGAATGTCCTTCCACAGGGGGGTGGACGGCACTAATTACCACTAGGTGGATCTTGAGAAAGTTGAGGGAGAGACCTGATGTCTTCAGTGACAGGAGGTGGGGAATCCCCACTGCTTCTTGGGAAAGTCCCTTTTATTGGGCTCAGGAGGTAAAGCATTTCCACTTGGCCCAGTAACAACCCCTAGTGGATTCTTTCCTGCTGCTGGAGAGGATGTTTTGCATTTCTGAAGAACACGCCCATTCTAAAGAAGATGCCCATCCAAATACCATGTTTTGAGGTGAAGCGCTGGTGGATTGGGATGTCTGATCTTGCCATCATGCTGTGTCAATAGATTGGGGAAGGTGGGGATGGGCGGACATACAAAGGAGGTTGGGAAACCAGAACTGTCTGGGCCAGTCGGAGGCGAGCAGGATGACTCTTGCTCATCTGATCTTGTGGAGTACTCATGGTAGGAGTGGGAGAGGAAGGAAGGCATAGTTGATCTGGTCTGACCAGGGGAGTTTGAGAGCATCACCCTGAGAGTGGAGACCACCCACTGGAGCAGCATGTGCTGCATTTGCAGTTGATAGGGGAGGCGAAGAGGTCTCTGGTCAGAGTCCCCCACTGGTCAAAGATGTGTCACACCATGGAATCGTGGAGTTCCCACTCGTGGTCGATCACAAACTGCCTGCTCAGCAAGTCTGCAATCACATTCTGAATCCCCGGGAGATATGCTGCAGATAAGAGGATATGGTGTGCGATGCACCAATTCCAGAGGTTGATTGCTTCTAAACATAGAACGGTCGAGTTTGTGACCCCTTGTTTGTTGATGTACCAAACAGTGGTGGCAACATTGTCCAACATAATAAGCATATGATGGGAATGGGTGAATGGGAGAAATGCTTGGCATGCCTTCCTTACAGCCTGCAGTTCCAGAATGTTGATGTGCATCATGGATTCCCAAGGAGTCCATGTTCCCTGCACCATGTAATTTGCCCATGTGCTTTCCCCAGCCTACAAGTAATGCATTGGTGATGATCGTCTTGTTCAGGGAGGAAGGGAGAACCCCTAGACAGACCTGGCATGGGTCCGTCCATCAGTGACGGGAAAAGAGTACCCGGGGGGGAGGGGCTGTCAGCATGAGGTTTGGGTGAGTAAACCATCTGGAGCCACATCTGGACGCAGCGAAGATGGAGCCAAGCGAAGATGGTGACGTACATGCATGGGGCCATGTGGCCAAGGAGGGATAGTCAAGTCCTGGCTGGGACAGATGGATTGTTGATTACGTGGTTTACGAGCTCTTGCAGAGCCTGGAACCTGTCCTGCCGTAGGTAGGCTCGTGCTATGACCGAGTGGACAGAGGCCCCTATGAAGTCTAGGGATTGTGTCAGTTCCAAGGTTGATTTTTTAATGTTGATGCTGATTCCAAGGGAAGAAAGGAGGCCAACTAACATGGAAGTTGAAGCTTGGGCTTTGCATCTGGATTGTGCCACCTGGAGCCAGTTGTCAAGATATGGGAATACAAGGACCCCATAATGCCTGATGTAAGCTGCCAAGACGGAGAAAACCCTGATGAAGACTTGGGAAGCAGCAGTGAGTCCAAATGGAAGAACACTGTACGAAAATTATGTGAGCTGATTGTGAACTTCAGGAACCATGTGTGGGCCAGATGAATGTCCATGTGAAAGCAGGCGTCTTGCATAGCAAGAGCTGTAAACCACTTGCCTTCTTGTAATGATGGGATGGTCGCTGCTAGTGTGACCATACAAAACTTGGGCTTGCAGATGAAGTGATTGAGAAGGTGGAGGTCCAGAATTGGCCTCCACCTGCCTTTCTTTTTGGGTATCAGGAAGTAAGTTGAATAGAACCCCGCCCCTTGATATTCTGGAGGAACCTGCTCTTTCACTCCTCTTTGTAGTAAGGAGTTCGCCTCTTGAGTGAGAATGCTGGTATGAGAGTGTTCCCTGAGGAGACATGGCGGGGGGTGGAGGGACCTGTGGATGAGGTAGCATGCTGAACTCAACCATATAGACATGGTGGATGACATTTAGCACCCATTTGTCTGTTGTTATTGCAACTTCAAGCTGGAAAAAAAGAGTGCTAGATGACCCCCAAGGGGAGTGGGATGGTTGTATGGCAGTAGGCAAGGTGGTTGACAGTTCTCTAGAGTTTCTAAGAAATATCTTTTCTGTGAGAGCTGCATGTGGGAAGAGTAACAGGAGTACTTGTGGCACCTTAGAGACTAACAAATTTATTAGAGCATAAGCTTTCGTGGGCTACAACCCACTTCTTCGGATGCATATGCATATGTGAAGGTGGACCCAGAGGGTGAGATCTTTGAATCTTTTGATGCTTCCATGGTGGTTTGTAAGGCATCTGATGTAAAATCTGGGATGTCCTGTAACGTTGTATGGATGGCGAGCGAATTTACACTTTCGCACAGGTGTGTAAATATCCAAGGAATGAGGTGTAGCTCTTGCATCCTTGAGGGTGTGGAGGGAATCATCCGTTTTCTGGTTTAAAAGCTCTGATTCATCAAAAGGGAGGTCTTCAATGGTATTTTGTATTTCCCTGGAGAAACCAGGGGCATGGAGCCACAATTCCCATGACAGAACTATGCCCGTAGCCATAGAGCAAGATGAAGTATCTGCCACATTGAAAGCTGATTGAAGCGATGTCCTTGACACCAGTTTCCCTTCCTCTAAGATTACCTGGAAGCGGGCCTGGTCTTGCTGCGGCAGTTTTTCAACAAATTCCTCCAGTTTGCTGTAATTCAGGAAATCATATCTTGCAAGTAATGCCTGATCATTCAAAATCCTGAATTGAAGGCTGGCTGAGGAGAAGACCTTGTGACCCCAAAAATCCAATGCTTGCCCTCCTTATCGGATGGAGTGGAGTGTGAGTGTTGCTGTCTGGACCGTTCCTTTGCTCCCAGACCACAAGTGAATTGGGGGAGAGGGGTCGTGTGAGAAAAGAAACTCAGACCCCCTTAGCTGGTACATAATAGCATTTTTCTGACCTCTTGGGGATAGGTGTACATATGACGGCTGTATGCCATTGCCAAACTATTGTAGCTGGCTCGAGGATAGCATTGTTGATTGGCAGAGCATCTCTACCCGGCGTAGATGAGTGAAGGCTGTCCAGGAGCTTATGCTGAGTGTCCTGGATCTTCTCCAGGGGAAGCTCTCTTGCCACTCTTTATCTCCTGGAACTGGTGGAAGTCATTTGGAGGAGAGGAGAATGCTAAAGTCACTGCTGAGGACTATGGGAATCTGCTCCAGTGGTACCATCAGAACTCGACTGAGCGGCTCTTCTTTCATCATCAGCTCTGAGCATCTACTTGAAGGTGCTTGAGATGGGGAGGCAAGTGA